ATTCTCTTGCACTCAGCTTCCTGAGTAGCTGGGATTACAGTCGAGAGCCACCACGCATGGCTAATTGTTGTATTTTTAGTAGAGACAGGGTTTCGCCATGTTAGCCAGGCTGGTCACGAACTCCTGACTTCAATTGATCCTCCTGCCTCAGCCTCCCAAAGTTCTGGGATTACACGTGGGAGCCACTGTGCCTGGTCTCACTTCTTTCTTTCTTTCTTTTTTAATTTGATTGTATAAATAATTTATTTCTGTTCACAGCATCATATATGCATTATAAAAGGCTATGGAAACAAAAGAGGAGGATGATTGAGACAGATAATTACAGCAGTAGAAAGGAAAACAGAAACCAAGGCACACAGTCCCAACACCAGAACAGAGAATTTGGGAAGAAAATTGTTCCGAAGCAAAACTGGCCTCCCTGTGTCTATTGGAAAATATTTCCAAAGCTCACATAGGGAGGCCAACTTCCTCTATGGGAAAACCATTCACTCGCCAAAGGGCAGAAAGCATAATAAGTCACCCATTGATATACTGGGGGCGGGGGTGCTTCCCATGCCCCCCGGTGACCACTCCAAGGTGATTTGATCTGTGCTTCCTTTGTTGGGTCAGAGATGAAATGGGCTATTATTAGGTCAAAGATTACAGAAATCAATTAATATCTAGACCCATATGCTTGAAATTTTAAGTTCTCTTAGCCTACTGATTGGTTTGGATGAGCCCACCAGCTGCAGATGTGTGCTGAATTGCAAGATGCTATTTTTTTTAAACAAGGGATGTCTCTTGTAATACTAACTGCGTGATGATTGGTTTTCAGACATGTTTAAAAAAAAAAACTTACAAATGAATACTTACCTTAGAAATATTCACCTTAGGAAAAAAGACTTTGCCCTTTTATATTCCTTTATACTGCAAGTAGCGACATGTTCAGATTTCTAATGTGGTTCATTGTGGCCTATCTGGTTTAAGTATTTCATTAAAAATGTCTCGTTAGAGTATTTGATGTCATGCATCAAAAAAATAAAACCCCACCTTGTGCCGGGCGCGGTGGCTCAAGCCTGTAATCCCAGCACTTTCGGAGGCCGAGGCGGGTGGATCACGAGGTCAAGAGATCGAGACCATCCTGGTCAACATGGTGAAACCCCGTCTCTACTAAAAATACAAAAAATTAGCTGGGCGTGGTGGCACGTGCCTGT